CCACTGCTTGGTTCCTAAACCAATGCCATATATTTTAGTTTGGTGTAGCACCCTGTATCTATGTATACTAATTTCTATATCCATTGGGTTAGTATGGATTCTAGCAAATAACGTCCATGGAAATTAATGGCTTAAAATAGCAAAAGGCATTTCTCACTGAGGACACGTTCCATCAAGTGTTAGTTGGGTGTTTACTCATCTCATCCCTCAAGGATCCAAGCTAAACAAAGTGTAGCCACCATGCCAAACACGGTTGGCTGCTGTACCAAACAGTAAAGGAAACTGTAGAGGGTCTCATATCAGCAGGTAAATATACAGCCTGGGAGCATCATATGTCCCTTTACTCAGAGCTCAATGGCAAAAAAAGTCACATATCCCCGCTAAAGGGACTTTGTTCCCAGACAGGAGCAACTTGCAAAAATTTTATAAAGAGGGCTGATGACTATTACAAGCTAGATAAACTTTGTGTCCTTTTCAGTCATTAAAATACACAATAATGTTCTTACTGTGATTCAAAGAAATCTTTGAGTGACAATCCTGGGCATAATGCAATCATTATGCATGCATAAAACAGTTTAACGTTTACAGAAATATCCCCAGATCTGTAAAGGCTGTGCAAAATTCAGTGCCTATAAATGAATATCTAACAACAACTATAATAGAAAGTATACAAACTCTGTTTGCATTTAGTTTACACCTCCCTAGCTACTCACTCCCTTTTTTCCAGGGTTTCTCTGGGACATATGTAGTCAATTCCAGTAAGGACTGAACTCAGGGTTGGAAAAGAGCACAGAACTCTTAATTGGTTCTCAGCCAGTGTGTTGGCTACACTGACAGCAGTGGATTGTCAGCAGCTGATTTTCCACTTACCTCTGCTTCCCAGCAGTTCTGGGGGAATTGCTGAGGAAGCAGTCATGAACAGAGGCATTCTTGTTTGGAGATGATGTATGGTATTTTAAGCACACCGATTGATGTTCAACCTGGAAACCACTGTGGCTTGACTGTGCAGAAATTTCTAAGCCTATATATTGATGCAAAAGATGGTTAGTACAATAGGCAGCCAGGAATACTCTCCAGTTCTGTCATCAATTTGTCATTGACTTGTAGGGAGTATGAGGAATGTCAAATTCTGTGGTCAAATATGCAAATGATTGGAGTTATTAGACTTCAGATAAAAAAGGAAAAATTTTTCCCAACCTGTAGCCCATGGCCTACAGGCAGAGTAACCAGATAATCACTTTCAACAGGACAAAGGACAGCTTCATAGTAAAGGGAGAGGAGTGACTAGGCTGATGGAGGAGTGACCGATGTCCCCATGACCACTAGACGTGACCCTTTTTGTGGGGTCTGCTTAGACAATCTAACAAGTTCTTGACTTTTAAAATCATATCTTGCAGAAGTTTAATCTTCTAAACTTGAAATTGTACAGTCATCTTTGACAGCCTGGCTTTGCAGCCTTTCAGCTGTTGGACCTTAGGCAATGATTTAACCTTTCTGTGTCTCAGTTTCCTCATATATGAACACATGACGACATGCAAAGCACTTAGTCCATGTAGCATAGTAAGCATCTAAACCATGTTAGCTTGAGGGTTCAGAACTTATCAGTTTCTGAGCGATACAATTGTATGCACAGCAATATCATTTTTAAGTTGTGACTAACAGAAAGGTTCTCAAAGTAGTTAATCAATTTAAAGATGTTCTTGGAACAGATAATATGTAAGCATTTTCCCCTACTCTTCCAGAGCTTTCTGCAAAGGTTTGAGTTTCAAAAGTCTTGGTATACTTCTGTGCTCTGAAACTCAGAAGGTTTGTTCATTAAGATCTGAGTTCAGAATTCTCTGTATCTTGGTGTCTTCTGAAACATGGAAGTCGTGTTTCAAATACTTGTTTCAACCTCTTCTCAACCCTCTTTGGGAGGAAAAAATTTTCCATTACTGAAGAATTTCTTTCAACATGAACACAACTATTCACAAAAAAAGCCTTCAAATTGATGCAGAATGTTATCTTAGACCACTTTCCAGCACTTATAAAGCCGTTCCATTATTATATTGGGCATAGCTCTCATTCCAAAGTGTATTCAGTTATTCTATACCCTGGAAAATACCCACATAATTCTAGGGAGAAAAGATAAGGCTGGAAGGAAGAGCAATTTGAAGTTAAAATCAAATAAATTACTTTATTTAGAATTTGGAAAAGATATATGAGAATTCTATGTAGGGTTAGTATATGGGATATAGACTTGGCAGCTGTGATCACAGTGGCATGAACAAGATGGAAGTCGTTTTCCTTGCACGTTCACGTCTAAGGCACATAGTAATCTCCTTCCATAAAGTCAGGAGGGGCCCCAGTCCCCTCCATCTCCCTGCTCCTCCATCCCTAGGATATTGCCCTCTTTCCCCATGGTATACAATGGTTCATCCCCGAGTCCGAGTTCTGGAGAGCAGGAAAGGGGTAAAACAGAAAGGGAGGTCAGTCACCCCCTTCCTTTTAATGGGACACCCCCCTTAGGTAACCTGAGCTACTCTTCCTCACATCTTATTGGCCAGAATTCTCAAAGTGGTTAAGTAATCACACATGGCTACGCAGGAGCCAACGAATGTCTTCAGTGTTGGTAGCCATGTACCCAACCAAAAATCAGTGTCATCGGTAGGAGAGAAAATGGGAAGAATAAACATCAGAAGAGAACAAATAGCCTCTGCCTCAGTAGGGGACAGAATTCCAGTTGGTGGCTCTACACAAATCTGAGACCTGCACTATTTTTATAAATTATCATAGGCTTGCAGATATATGTGTATTTTGAATTAGGTAGATGAAAGTTATTCCTGATGTTCAGTGTAATTTTCATCTGAGGAATTACCTAATCTGTCTGTGCCTGAATCCCCACAATTGCAAAGTGGGAGCAACAAAATCAGCTCAAAAGTATTTGTTGGCTTGATGAATCTTAGATCAGAGGTTAAAAATCAATGAAACATTTTTAAAAACCAGCTCAGTGTTATTCTAAAAAAAATAGTTGAGTTTTTTTCATGGATTATTATTGCCAGTGATTAAAACGTGAAAGTTTTATTTTCCAACAACCGTAACCCTTAGAGAGAGGTGGCTATTTTATATTTTTAAGTCAGATTTCAGATTTAAGAGGACTATTTATTTCTCAAACTCAGGTGTTCCCTCTCAAGCTAAAATGACCATGTTGTATCACAGTTTATATGTGGGAGGTAAAAGAAATTTTGCTAGGAAAGTTGGGACTGGTTTAAAAAATGATAATGAAAGTGGAGCCAGAAAATCTTAAAGCCTTGACACCAGAACTAAATGGATAAGCAACCTTGAAATCTCCCTTCCTTCATTCAACATGTATTTATTGAACATCTAGACTAGAAACTGAATATGCAAGAATAATAAAGACAGGCAAGATCCAGTTCTCAACATTTTTGCATGCTTCTGGGGAGACAGGCAATAAACAAGCAAAGAAAACATGTAATAACATAGTGGTAAATGATAGAAAATAAATAAATAATATATTCCGATGGTGAATAACAGGGCATCTGCTTTAGATAATGTGGTCAGGTAAAGAGTTTCTGAATGGATGACATTTAAGCAGACACCAGAGGGAGAAACACCAGACACCAGACATGGAAAGAGAAGGGTGCAGGGAATTCCAGACAGAGAGAGCAGAGCTCTGGGGCACAGGATATGTGAGCACGTTCAGCATAAATAGCAAGGTTAATAATAAAAATGAACATACTTATTTGCAGGACGGTTTGAAAAGTGTCATGGTTTAGAACCATTACTTAGGCTTCCTCATGTTCATTGTTGCTTCCATCATTTTTTGTTAGTTAAATAATATAAATTAAAAATAAAACAATACAAGGCCAGGCGCAGTGGCTCACGCCTGTAATCCTAGCACTCTGGGAGGCCGAGGTGGGAGGATCGCTTGAGGTCAGGAGTTTGAAACCAGCCTGAGCAAGAGCGAGACCCTGTCTCTACTATAAATAGAAAGAAATTAATTGGGCAACTACTATATATAGAAAAAATGAGCCGGGCATGGTGGCGCATGCCTGTAGTTCCAGTGTGAAAGGTGATTTGGCAATTTGGGAAGTTATTGAGTCAGTTCGAGAATGCAAACCCTCTTGATATAATTTTCAACATGCTACTAGGGAGGCTGAGGCAGGAGGATGGCTTGAGCCCAGGAGTCAGAGGTTGCTGTGAGCTAGGCTGACGCCACGGCACTCACTCTAGCCTGGGCAACAAAGCGAGACTCTGTCTCAAAAGAAAAAACAAACAAACAAACAAACAAAAATACAAAGCATTAAAGTTTGATGGCCAAGAGAGAATATATACAAGCAGAAGCCCCCTAGAATAAAGTCTTTCAGAAATATATGGAACTAATTACCGAAATGCAAAGAGCAAAAAATACTGGAACGTGATTAGTGTTAAGTGTATTTAGGAAATCCTGGACGTGGCCAGTTTTTAATTGAGTGCTCCCAAAACAGATCCCACTTTAATTTTGTGGACACACTGTCTCTCCCATATTTAGCTGGAGACGTGTTTACTTTATAATTGGAAGAGTCATCCGTTCCCAGTGTTGCTGGATGTAAAGCAGCTTTGTTTTCTCCACCCCGAGTACAGGGCTCTTTTCCAACTCGAATCCCCAAGGAGCCACGTGAATCTGTATCTGGAAATCCCATCACGCCGAGCACATTGCTGTGGCCTCAGCCCTTCCGCGCTTTCAATGCATCCCCTTACCGAACAGATGCTTCAGATACGGTTTGGAACCTTCACCCTCCCTTTTGTGGGCTGACCCGAGCCTCAAATATTGAGGAAAGCATGTTGAAAATTATATCAAGAGGGTTTGCATTCTCGAACTGACTCAATAACTTCCCAAATTGCCAAATCACCTTTCACCCTGAAACTCTTGAAAGGAAAGCCTATAAGATTTGGTGATTACATTTGTTTTTTTTTTTTTTTTTAAGATGTTCCATTAATAGCTCTTTCGTGCCCTTTAATGATGATCTGCCAAAGACCTGCATACAGTTTGGAATAGAACACCTGGGCTCGGAGGCTACAGCCCACAGGTAAGCACTTGGCGTATTCATGCATGCCGGCTGTGTACAGCTCCGTGCGTGGTGGACTTCATGGTGTCAGAACATGATGAAAAGTGACAAGGCCTGGCAATGGCCTTGGCAGAGAAACTCTTCTCGGAAAAAGTTGCCTGTCTTTTCCTAATGAGGAATTCCCTAAAAGTGAAGCTGAAAGTTTCCTGTGTTGGAAAGGGTAATACAATAAGCTTTGGAGAAAATTGGACAAATGCAGAGGTTTATACAAAGCAAATGTGACTTTTGGCTAGAATGAGATATCTCTAGGAAACATGGTGGCCGTGTCATATCAGATTGACTGATGTGAAACATGTGGGCTAGGTGAGGAATGGTGCCAAAAATTTCCTAGAGTACTTACGGAGGGGCACAGCTCAACTGCTTGTCTCCCAGCCGGTTCCTGCAGATACACTTGTGAGGTATATACTCGCAGGCAGAGTGCTTCACCAAGCACGGCTGTTTTCCTGTCTTCCTTTGCTCATGGCTATGTTTAGCTCTTAATCAGGAAGAGGCTGAATATCTTTGAGAAAATCTAATAGATTTATTTGTATGTCCCTATTAGCAGGGGCTGGAGTCATAGATAAGGTGACCACAAATTACGTAATTAATTTTCCACCAACTTTTTACATAGACTTCCAAATCTATTTTATGTCCTAGATTTATTCACCTCCCCTGCCATTCTGTTTTTAGATCTTCTGTCTAATCATCACGACATAGTAGCAGGAGCACTAAACTTGGAATCAGAAAACTAGCTGTGTGTGATTTGGGGCATGTTGCTTCACTTTCAACAGCCATAATATTCTATTCTATAAAATGAGAATTATAACACGTGCCTCCCTCTCAAGGATGTGATGAGCATCAAGTGGATATGTTTTTGAAAGCATTTTTTTAAATTTTAAAGGGGTCAACAACTATTGCCTCTAATTTATTTGTCTTATTTTGACTTGGGGGAAGAGGGTTGGTTCTAAATGGTGAATTTCTTGGATGATAGTAGAGATTTAGAAATGAAACACCAAAGGCATCATTGTTTCAAATTTCTCTAATTGGTGGGACAAGATAGATATTTAGGAGGGTATCCTATATGTCTTGGATGTGCATATCACCTGATTTTATTAAAATGCAGATTCTGATTCAGTAGATTTGGGTGGGTCCTGAGATTTCTACATTTCTAAAAGCTCCCAGGTGATGTCCATACTGCTGATCCATGGACTTCAAATTGAGTTGCAATGGATGGAGGAGATTGGGATAAAGGAAAGAGGTAACACAGGTGAAGAGAGTGATGAAGACTGAGCCTTCCTGTCTGTTGTTCCTTCATTTTGATGCCATGCTGGTGAAATGACTACATATAAGAGTAGCTTTGTAAGAATTCGTGCTAATACTACACCTGGCCATGGTTATTTGGTCTTAATTCAGCATCTTTCTTGAGGAGTAAATTTAGTGCAAGAGATACACAGAAGAAATTGTGACTTAACTCAGAACATGCCAACCCTGCCCATGATTTGCTACATATGTGGTAGGAAACTAGGGACATTTAGTTTGGAAAAGAAGCAGTCTGTGTTCTGCCAACTGGGAAGTGATCCAACAGTGACAAAAATCATTAGCTTCTGTGACCTTAGCTGTATTTAAAGGGTATTCCCTGGGGTCCCCTAGTATAACATGCCTTGATTGGACATCGTTAACTGGCATTCTTATCATTCACATTTAGAACCAAATGACTTCCTTCTGACATTTTCACAGTGATTTGGTAGTCTGCCATGATATTATGTATTGTTCAGGATAATTTCCCATGTAACTGGGTCCATTTTCCTGATTTATAGCTGTTTGTAAAAGTTGGCTCTAAAAAGGGGTAGAAAAGTCAAGAAGAAAATAACTCTATAATAAACTGCTGCAAACAAAGAGCAGATTGGTGAAATTCTTGAAATCCTGTTATAATTCTAGAAAGGTATAGGATTATGATATACAGCTCTTGGTGACTCAGTTCTAATGTGCAACTGTTACTCATTTTTGTTTTTTGGGGTTTTTTTTTTTGAGATACAGTGGTGTCTTGGATATTTATTAGCTATCAAAATAACCACCCCTGAAAATGTGCTGTTGTGACTTATAACAAAGCTACACAGGCATAAATTTTGTCCAGGTACAATTATCTAAGATTTGCTGCTTACCAAATCACTCCACTTGGGTTACCAGAATCTTGATTAAAATGATCTATAGAGGAACATACAGTGAAATATCTAATCACAACAATAACTAATGGGATCCTTTAGCTCAATATTTTATATTAAAATGAGAAAATCAGAAAAGAACTTACTTTGGTGAGTTAATCTCAACTACATAGTGAGAACTCTACCCTGGTTCTATCTTTTGCTTATTATAGAGTATAAAAAATCATTACCGTGGAAATTATAAGCAAACAGAAATACTTAATCGTTTGGTTCTAACATTAATTTCCTATGTCCTTTAAAAGGAATTCTTGAGGCTCTTAGCTGAGTGTAATGTGCCGCCTATATCCACTCTGGTAGTTGTTGTTGGTGCCCAAACCTGTTTCATGTTCAACATCAGCCTTTATTACCTTCCACGTATAGGATTTTTAAACAGAGCGAATTCTTAGTCTCTCAGTTTGTAATTGCTTAAAAAGTCTAGTGCAGAGTCTTCATCAGGTATATTTCTATAGTTTTTGTTTTTCTTTATTCTTAACTGCACTGAACTTAAAGGGGTGCCCTAGGCCTCCAAACTGCAGTTGGAGGCCAACATTTGTTTGCTGCTGGGAACGGCCACCACCTGCCAGTGCTTCATCTGAATCCAGGGGACTTTGCTGCCACTCTGAATGTGGTGAAAAGAGCAACTTCCAAATTGGTTACAAGTTGAAATAGGCCTCTTTGATTCTGCTGCAATATAAAAGACTCTGGATAAACCCATTCAGCCTCTCTCTTGACTTACATATGAAATGCCACTTTCATTTCAAGAGGAAAAAGGTTGATTTTGACTTAGTTCTCTTCTTACTAGAGATCATCTGGAGTTAATAAACATTTTATATGATGTCTGTAGAATAAACAATCTGGACAACAAAAATCTTTTTTTATAAAAATAAAACTAGTTTTTTGATACGTAAGTAATTAATATTCATTTAAGGGAAAATTTAAAATACAGAAAATTATTTTGAAGTCCTCCCCAAATCCTATCAACCCAGGGATAATCATAGTTAACATTTGTTTTGTGAACACTCTCTATACATATTACTCTTTTCATATTCTTGGGCAAGTTATTCATTCTTTCACTGTGTCTTTCTCTCATCTATAAAATGAGAATACAAATAGTACCTATTTATCGCCTAATATTGTTTTGAGATTTAGATGAGTTAAATCTAAATCTCATTTAAAACATGTAACTTAGTACCTGACAATAGTTAATAAAAAGTCATTAATATTTTAAGCACTACATGTACATATTTACAACTAGTAGGTATATTATTTACAAAAATGGAATAAAACTATACATGTTGCCTTGTAACTTTACTCAGTAATATGTTGATGTCATGTTTCTACATTAGTAAATATAGACCTACATCATTATTTTAAATTGTGGCATAATATTCTATTATACAAATGTAGTCAGTTAAAATTTATGGATTTTCCTTGATCTTCCTGTTGCATATTTGCATATTTCCTTAAATTAAGTTCCTCAAAAGAGGAATAGTAAGTCAAGCAATACAAAATCTTTGAGTATAAGTGTTTTTAATACCTCAGCTTAAGAAAGTGACTAAATAAGGCAATTTAATAGCCATTTGATAGGCAAATGAAAGAAACATGGTGTTTGGCTATATATGTTAGTGGTTATGAGGACTGGCTTTGTGGAAGTTTACTTGATTCAAATTCAAGAACCACTACTTACTAGTTGTGGTAAGTCATTGTGTGACCTTGAACAAGTTCTTAATCACTCCGTGCCTCTATTGCCCTATCTGTAAAATGGGAATTTTCTTTAAAGGTCCTACTTTCTAGGGTATAGTGAAAACTAAATAGAATTATGCAAACAATGCTCTAAGAATAGTCCCTAGCTTATAGTAAAAGCTCAATAAATATTACTTAACATTATTTTTACATAGGCAAAGTGAAATAGAACAGAGAATAATTGTCTACTGAAATTGAATTTTATGTAACTTAGAAGTGATATAAATATTCACAACTTTCCCCCAAAGAACTATTAAAATACATTAGAAATATATGCTGATATAGAACCACTGGAGGAAGTTCTTTGATTTGCTGTGCAAGAGAGGACGAAAACATCTGAGCTTGACAGCCTTAAGTGCTACTACTTGCCAGAGTATTGTGAATTCTGTCAAGTTATTTGCACTTAATTGCTTTATATCCTAAGGCACTAGCACAAAGAGATCTTTCCTTTGCTCTACCCAATGTTTGGTAATAAGACAGAGAAGAGAATAATATAATCATGTATCACCTATCGTGATTTTTAAAATTCGTTGTGAGAAATGCGTGGTTAGGTTATGCCGTCGTGTGAACATCACAGAGTGTGCTTACAAGGACCTAGATGGTACCGCCTACTGCACACCTGGGCTGCATGGTGGAGCCTATTGCTCCAGTGAAACATGTTACTGTAGTGAATACTGCAGGCAAGTGGAACCCAACGGTAAGTATTTGTGTTTCTAAAAATATCTACACACAGAAAAGGTACAAATACTGCATAAAAGCACTGGATAGAGCAGCTTATGGAACCACCTTCCTATATGTGGTTCGGTGCGGTTCAAAATGTTGTTATGATGTGCAGGACTGTATTTTTAAAACCTTGAAAAGCACCAGCTTATTCCATATTGCTCTATAAAGTGATTTATTTCATCGCCAGACTTTACCCTATTAATAAGATGTAGTGTTACCAAGGAATGCAGTTCAGGTAAGATGTAGATGTAGATTTTATTTAAATTCATTTAAAAAATACAAAATATATTTTGATATTTGGTTCAGCCTTCTTTG